GTTCTTGGGGACCTCTCAACACTGGCTCTTACGGCAGCGATATTCTCGGCCGATCGCCTTGGTCGACTTTTATATGGTCTCTTCGGATTAGAAAAAGCCTTACCAGTCGAAAATTTTTCGTATAAACGCTTAATGGTGTTCTTAGAAGGCGCACTTCTCACATTTTTTAATGTTTTAAAAGCACGTTGAGTTTTCACAATTGACTTCTTGTAAATTTCAACTATTTCAGAGCGCTCGTGTGTTGGTTCATGGTAAAAATCTGCTTGGACTGACGCTTCAAACGCGGTATGTCATTAAGCGATGTGACATCTCTGTCAAAAGTTATGGCGTTGCCAGATGGGTCCGTCGAATATGGGCAACCCTGTATGTGCGACAGCCAACTCTTCGTACTTCTATATTTTTTTTTGGCATTTGTTTTATTGTCGCTGAGGTTCAACCCTTAGGTACAGAAATGCGACATTTTTGGATTGTGTAGGATGCAGAAGGTATGCAGTTGTCCTTACTAGTATTGTTGAAAGTAACACATGTGCTTATCATATTTTTATTTGTTATTCTTGATCAGCATGAAATTCTATGTCGATTTAGCGATGTCCGTCCGTCTACAGTCTATCCGTCTGTGGAAATCACTCTAGCTTCCGAACGAAATGAAGTAGGTTGATAAAATTTTACTGTATTATGTCTGCAGGACTTTTGGTATTAAAAATGGGTGATGTAGGTTCACGTTTTGGTATAACCCCTATATAATGGTAACTCTCTTTTTTCGGTATTTTGGTGATTTAAGCGACATTTTTCAACGGAATTGTTTCAAATTTGGTATTTGAAGTTCGTAACGGATGCTACAGCCTATGAAAAAAAAATTGTCTGTGCAAGTCCACGTCTTCATATAGCACCCATATAACGGTACCTCCCGATATTCCGTACTTTGATGATTTTAGCGACATTATTCACCGGAAATGTTTCAAATTTGGTATTTGAAGTTCATATCGGATGCTACAGCCTATGACAAAAAACTGTCGGTGCAAGTCTACGTCTTCGTATAGCCCCAATATAACGGTACCTCCCTTTTTTGGTATTTTGATGATTTTAGCTACATTATTCCCCGAATTTTTTATTCAAGTTTTGCATTTGAATATTGTAATGGTTTATGACACAAGTTGCCTATGCAGGTTGACGTCGTCGTATAGACCCTAATATAACGGCTAAATTCGGTATTTTTAAAATTTTAACAGAATTTTAAATGGATTTTATTTTTTTGAAAATTTCAAAAATAGTTCCATATGGTGGAGGGTATTCAAAGATCGACTAGGTCGAACTTACAGCTTTTAGTAAAAACTTTTAAATTCTTGCAGTTTTCAAATTTGGAGTTTAGTATTGTCAGTATATAATGTTTTTTAAAAATATTCTCAAAAAATATTAAATGCTGGTCCATTATTTGTAATAACCCCCATTTAACACTTGAACCCAATCATGTCCTGGGTAAATTTTACCCAGTTCCAAAATAGTTCCAAATTTTAAAATCATCAAAGTACCGAATATCGGGAGGTACCGTTATATAGGGGCTATACGAAGACGTGGACCTGCACAGATTATTTTCTGTCTTAGGCTGTAGTATCCATTACGAACTTCAAATGCCAAATTTGAAACAATTCCGGTGAATAATGTCGTTAAAATCAACAAAATACCGAATATCGGGGGGTACCGTTATATGGGGGATATATGATAACTTAGACCTACATGGCCCATTTACGAACTTAACCTGCCTACTGGCAAAATATACATGTGTGCAAAATTTTAGCCTTCTATCTCAATTTGTTCGACGGACAGACAGACAGACACACAGACGGACATGGCTAAATCGTCTTAGAATTTTACGCTGATCAAGAATATATATACTTTGTTGGGTCTGACATGAGTATTTCGAGGAGTTACTAACGGAATGGCAAAGTTAAAATACCCTCCATAGTATGGTGGAGGCTACAAAAAGGATGTACCACAACAAGAAGATATGCCAAATAATATATCCAGCTAAAACGCCAAATTACAACAAATTGGTTGGAAAATGAGTCTTAAACCTTCGCAGTACTTTAAATCCAAAGGTACATTCTTTTGGGGGCTATGGCAAATAGTGATCCCATGTTGAAAATTTCCCGTACTTCAATTAAAACACAGCAATGAACTTTATAAAATAGGAAGTTTACAAACTGGACGATTGCGCTGGCATAACTCGTCTGACTCGTCAAACGAAACAATATGAAAACTAATCTTCAATTTTCCCAATGGCATTATTGATTTTGGTTGCATCTTAAGGCCCAATTACACATCATGTTAGGGACATATGAAAAGGCATTTTCCACAAGTTATATTTCCTATTTTTATAGCATACTTTAAGGGCTCCCAAAAATTTGTTTACTTAACAAGTAAAAAAGCAGCTAAGTTCGACCGGCCCGAACTTTTTATACCCTCCACCATTTGGAAGAAATTTGAAAAATTTCAAAAAAAAAATTCTGTTGAAAAATACCGCTCGTATGAAAACCGCTATATATGGGGGCTATACAAAGACCTGGTCATGCATAAGTAATTTGTGTCATAAGCTGTAGTAACGGTTCCGAACTTTGCATATGAAATTTGAAATAATTCCGGTGAATAATGTCGCAAGAATCATGAAAATACCTAATATCTGGGGGTAACGGTACCATGGGCGCTATACGTGGACCTATTAGACAATTATCTTCTAAGAGGTAAAGTACTCAGATGGAACCCCTTTTGTGGATTTTATGACAATTCCATTAAAAAACTTGGCTGAAATCATAAAAATACCGAATATCGGGGGGTACCGTTATATGGGCGCCATACGATATCGTGGACCTATATAGACAATTATCTTCTAAGAGGTAAAGTACTCAGATGGAACCCCTTTTGTGGATTTTATGACAATTCCATTAAAAAACTTGGCTGAAATCATAAAAATACCGAATATCGGGGGGTACCGTTATATGGGCGCCATACGATATCGTGGACCTATATAGACAATTCTCTGCAACAATTTCATTGAAAAATGTGGCTAAAATTATCAAAATACCTAATTTCGGGAGGTGCTGTTATATGGGGAATATACGATATCGTGGACTTCTATAGACAATTCTCTGTCAAGGGGCTAAGTACTCATAAAGAACTCCTGGTGTACAATTTCAGGGAATTCCAATGAAAAATGTGTTCGTGGAAAGACAGAATAAGACAGATCTGTGCGAAATTTTAGCTTTCTATCTTAATTTGTATTGGCTGTAGCGGACAGAAGGACAGTGTTAAATCGTCTTAGAATTTTACGCTGATCAAGAATAGATATACTTTACCGGGTCTAAAATTATTATTTCGATGAGTTACAAACGGAATGACGAACTTAATATACCCTCCATACTATGTATGGTGTTGGGTATAAAAAGAATGCTATATTATTGATCTGTTCCAAATTTAGTACACTTTAGTACAGGTTACACACTTCGTACACATTTCCAAAACATTTGCATCATATATCAAGCATACGTTTCAACCTTGATTCTCATACCCAATATCAATTTTTTTTTGTATTATCCGTTCACATAATACCAAACCCTACCATTTAAGAAATTTAATACCATTTTAAAACTTTTCGATAACTTAAAGTTGGAATTTCCGAAACACCTTTGACATATCTATTCTGCACTCTATCAGTGTCATTTCTAATTTCAGAATACAAGCTCATTCCGTTTGTCCAATAGAAAGCATTAAGTTTTTAGTAAATGTTGGTACTTTTCGTACGCTTTTAGAACGATTTTCTAAAAACCCAGCCTTTTCACACGCTTACGCATCAAGACTGATACTGATACTAAAATCACATTCCGTTTACATCCATATCTTGAAGTTTTGGCATCAATAATTCGTTGGTCATGATTCTGCATCGATTTCCATTCATGGTAACGCCTCGTCCTTCCTCATTTATAGAAAAACAAGGACCGATGATCCCACCATCCCATAAACCGCTCAAACATCACATTTGTACTCACTCTTCTCATTCCTTTCGGTGGCTTGGTTATTTATTATTATTGCAGCTTATGACAGCAAATTATCTGTGCAGGTCCATGTCTTCGCATAGCCCTCATATAACGAACGGTACCTCCCGATATTCGGTATTTTGATGATACCCTCCATTCTATGGTGGAGGGTATAAAAACGCTCATAACTGCGAAGTAAGCATCCGTTTCCTTTCAAAATTCACACATACCAGTATTTCTATTTGTATAATACTACCCCTTCTGGTACCTCCCCCACAAAAGGTCACAATTTTCAATACTTATGTATTTCATAAATAGCAAAACATGTCTGCTGCCATTCTTTTAAAATTTGGTAACCAGATATCTGATGTGAATATATAATTCATCGGTCCACCTCTTTTGATACCTTTCCCATCAAAGGTTTAAATTTTGATTAACAATTATTCGCATAAATTTGGAAATAAATTTTGCATTTTCTTTGAATTGGGCTCATCCCAATCTTTTTTCCGTATTAAATGATTGGGAATACTTCGGTCCATTATGTCTGGTGCCTCACGCACATTTCTACATTTTCAAAAAATTATTACAGTGGTGAATGAAGTAATCGATATAATCAAAATCTGGTACATTTATATCAGACTTAGATCCGAAACGAAATAGACAACATTGGCCCACACCTTTGGAACCTACCCCATAAAGGCTCACCATTTTGAATAATCATAACACAAGGGCCTGTAGGGTTTCACGACTCATAATGCTCCCAGTGGCAATAGATCTCAATTCAAAATTCTTTCTGTTTTCTAACTATTGGTCTTTTATGATTCCTTTTATTGGCGTACATAAGATTAAATTCTACATTTTTTCCATGGTAGATAAATTGTCGTATCGCTCCAAATGCTCAACCATATATTTACACCCCTAAAACCCAAGATCCTTAATTTTATTTTGTTATCCTCTCCTTTTTATTTTCAGTTAAAATCCCAACCATACACAGAGCTTCAACATGACAGTTCAAAGTAAAATGGTGTCACTTTGTACCTGCAAAGATTTTCAACATTGCTGGACGGATAAATGTGTCAATGCGACGGCTGGTATTATACTGGCCGCCACACCCTATTGCCTTAGAGTTTATACCATGGTTTATGCGGTAAGCAAAAGGGAAACACCTTCCTCAATTTTCCTTTTTTTTACTAATAATCGGAATATTATTCTTCCTCCAGCTATCCCTAGTTATGCGTGGTAAAATTCCCACTTTGGATGATTTGAAGAAAACAGTCCGGGGCATTTTACAGTCCACAGCCTTTTTGGTGACAAATGCCTATGGCTTTATTATGTACAATTGTCTGATGCGTCATCTTATGGGTTATTATACAACGGCGAGTGTGGCATTTTTGCCTTGTTTCTTGGCCAGTTTAATGGCCATTGTTGTGGAGAGGGAGCCGAGAAGGCCAATGTTGGCATTGTATGTGGCAAATGTGGGCACTGAGACCCTGTGGAATATGGCTGAGGCCCGTGGTTGGGTGAAATCCATACCAAATGGCCAGGTTCTCTTGTTTGGAGCCAGTATTTCGGCATTACTGTATTTGTATAAATTGGGTCTACACAAAACCACCTGCAAAGATTCGCTATTTGGTCTACTGAAAATATTTGTGGGTAAAGCCGAGGAAGGTCCAGCAACCAAAGAGAGTATAGAGGGTAATCCTGCTGCTCCCACAACGCAGCAAAGATCCCGTCCTCCAATAAATTTTGCCACCATCAATGGTTGGGTACAAGCCTATTCGAGGTTTATTGAAAAACTTAAAGGCAAACATGAAACCTGTAATCACAAAGAAAGCTGTGTTCACTATTCCATTATGGGTGGCCTCAAACCATTGGTGGGTGGTATCGGTGTCCAGGTTGCCTTGAAACTTTTGCTGAATATCAAAAAGGTGGCCCAAAATAAATTGGATTGGCGAAAAACAGTGTTCACCAAGAAAACAATGAACTTGGGTCTGTTTTTGGGTGCTTTCTCATTCCTATTTAAGGTAAGACCGGCGGAGGAGGGATGTCCTAGAGGGGTGTGGAAATTTATTATTTGTTTTATTTTTCCAGTCTGTTTCCTGTGGCCTTAGACATGGTTTTAATCGTGACGATCCCAGATTTGCCATACCAGCTGGTCTAATTGCCAGTACAAGCTTCCTTTACTATCCCGACAAAACAGTAGCTCTATATGTTATGTGGAAAACACTACAGGTAAGATGGAACACATTCTTATAATACTTCACAAGGGGGTTGGAACATGTAACTGCATTCAAGATTATAGTTAAAACCTCATGTCGGGTTTCTGATTTTAAAATTGCTATTCTCTTCTAGATTGTCTACAATTTGGGTATTGAAAAGAAGAAGGTACCCAAGGTCCCAGGTTTTACGATAATGCTGTATGCCTTCTGCACAGCGGTGCTGTTCCATGCCGGTATCTTGGAACCCAAAACTTTGAGACCTAGCTACTACAAATTCCTGCAAGATATTTCGGGTGGAAGGTAAGCAAAGATTCTCCCCTCAAAATATATGAATATGTAATGATATTTTTCTTCCCTCCAGATTTAATCACTTCAACATGAAACCCCTGGATGTCTTTGGCTTGGATACCGCCCGACAAACGGAAGAAGTTTTGATTAGTTTAAAACTAACCGATAGATCCAAATTGCCCATGTTTGCCTTGGCCGATTGGTAGTAAAGATATGAAGAATTTACTTCTTATAAACTAGTTGTTTTTTTTTTGTATCTAATGTAAATATATAGGAATTATGCAACGGGTGTTTGTACAAAATTTCTAATTGTGATGTGAACGAGTGATGTGAGAATACCAAAGGATATATAGCCTTTGATATCTTTTGTGTTTATCTAACTACCTAAATGTATAATAGTATAGTTTATTTTTTTTTTTAATTTTTGTATTTTGTGGCTAATGAGAAGCAATGAATCGTTAATTTCTTCTTTTGCAAGAAATTTTAAAATGATTTCCATCCTATTATTCTTTCATTCTAATATAATGAATTTAAATATTTTAAATAGTTAATTATGTTTTAATAAGAAAAGAAATATATAATATTTAATTGTCACGAGAGTGCTATTTGAATTTTGAACTGTTAACAGGTTATAACATTATTTATAAATATAAATATATATTTTTGTACCAGAAAATAATAAAAGGAAAATGAAAGAAGATGTGATTTTTTAATGAAACGCCTTTTTGAGGATAACATTGAGTTTGTTTGAAAACAATCACTTTTTGATCTCAATAAATATCACCAAGAAATCGTCGCTAAAGGCTTGGAAGAAAAATATTGAATGAATGATGTACTTCCGCTATTTAAGACGGAGAACTGAAAAGAGATGAAAATAATACGTTAAATAGATTAGATCTCATATTCGCTTCTTATCTCCTCTACAGGAAAATTGGGTTAAAAGAAACTTCACTCCTTTATACATAGAAATATTGTTAAAGAGAGGACATAATCAACTATAAACAAATTAGTTCATGTCCAATGCATATTTACAACCCGAAAAAAAAAAACCTTAGAGTATATGGTAGCAAATCCAAAACCATTCAACTGGACAATATAAGGATTTTTGACTACCTCCTTATAACACCAGTGGACCACGTACAGAAGGAGACTCAAATTCTTCCCGTACGTCAACATAACCCCATACCATGGTAGAAGAATACAGGTAGATGCACCAGCGCTTGGAAACATTGATATGTCGAAATTTTTTGAATGTTTATGCTCTTTTAAACGACGTCATTCGGAGGTTATTATAATACGTGTTTTTCAACAATTTTTACAAATTTTAATAATTTTTCATTTAACATTTTCAATTCCAAAATTGATTTGACAGTTCATTGTCCCACCAGCTGTGTCGATGCGTCTACCTATATTTTTCTACCATGCCCCATACATTTGTTGCACTGCCCGCTTCGCTGTTACAGTGGTATAAAGAAGAAACTACACGTTCCACAGAGGAAGGTAAAACGATGTGCTAACCCACATGGGCGTAAATTGAGGATAATGTTCAGAACTACAGGATCGATAACCAGACTACATCTATTCGATTGTATCGCCAAACGTACACAACATACGTCCAAGATCTTTGATCTATAAAATACTTAGCTTCCTCCTAAAAGTAGGCTATATCATTTTGTAGTTTTAAAAACACAACTCAAATTAATACCATCTCATGATTTGTGCTATGTTATTCTGTTCGGATTTTTTTTAGCGCAACAAACGAATTTATTAATGACTGCTACAACCTTAGGCACTGTAAAGAAGCAGACATCATAAGAACAATAATTCTATTTTTAACACCCACCCACCCATGAAGAATGTTTACTTTCCAAAGAGGTCAGCTGAACATGTGCACCTTCGGTTAGCCACCAGAACTCAAGCGCCGGCCATGGTGATGGTGTGGGCCACCATAAGAGCCGATGGTCGCTCTCCGATGGCATTAATCGACCGTGGCATCAGAATAAATGCCGAATGTTATCGCGGAAATATTCTGGAGGGTGTATTAAAGCCTTGGACACGCAAACATTTTGGCCGCAGACCTTGGACATTCCAACAGGACTCAGCACCCTCGCACTCAGCACCCGCCACCCAAGAATGGTTACAAAATGAGGTTCCTCGCTTCATTTCCAGCACACAATGGCCACCAAAATCTCCGGATACAATCCGTTGGACTATAGTGTCTGGAGTATTTTGGAAAGCAGGTTGGCACTTAAAAATACCAAAGTGTGGAACACCTCAAGCAAGGGCTTCGCCGGTAATGGGCCAAAATACCGCTTAGCAACATTCGGGCATCATTTGACGGTTGCATTGGCCGTTTGAAGGCCATAATTCGTGGCAAAGGTGACCAAGTCAAACAAATCTAAACTTATTCTCAAATTTGGTGCTATATCCGACATTTTTTGCTTTCATTCAATAAAATTTCAAACAAAAATGTAAAAATTATGGCGTTTGACTTTGTTGCAGTTTTTATACCCTCCACCATACTATGGAGGGTATATTAATTTTGTCATTCCGTTTGTAACTCCTCGAAATACTCATGCAGACCCAACAAAGTATATATATTCTTGATCAGCGTAAAATTCTAAGACGATTTAGCCATGTCCGTCTGTCCGTCTGTCTGCTGTAATCACGAACAAATTAAGAGAGAAGGCTAAAATTTTGTACACATGTATATTTTCCTAGTAGGCAGGTTCGTAAATGGATCCACGTAAATGGGTAAATGTAGGTCCAAGTTATCATATAGCCCCCATATAACGGTACCTCCCGATATTCGGTATTTTGAGGATTTTAGCGACATTATACACCGGAATTGTTTCCAATTTGGCATTTGAAGTTCGTAATGGATACTACAGCCTAAGTCAGAAAATTATCTGTACAGGTCCACGTCTTCGTATAGCCCCCATATAACGGTACCCCCCGATATTCGGTATTTTGATGATTTTAACGACATTATTTACCGGAATCGTTTCAAATTTGGTATTTGAAGTTCGTAATGGATACTTCAGCCCTAAGTCAAAAAATGAGCTATGTAGGTCGACGTATTCGTATAGCCCCCATATACCGTACCCCCCCGATATTCGGTATTTTGATGATTTTAGCGACATTATTTACCGGGATTGTTTCAAATTTCGCATGTGAAGTTCGTAATGGATACTTCAGCCCATGCCAGAAAATTGTCTGTGCAGGTCCACGCCTTCGTATAGCCGCCATATAACGGTACCACCTATATTCGGTATTTTGATGATTTAGCTATATTATAAACAGATTTTCCTTCAAGTTTCGCATTTAAATATTGTAATAACTTATGACAAAAGTTGCCTATGCAGGTCTACGTCGTCGTATAGGAATTCGGTATTTTTAAGATTTTAACAGAATTTTAAACGAATTTTATTTTATTTTTTTTTTTTTGTTTTTTGGAAATTGCCAAATTTGTACCAAATGTGGAGGGAACAAAAATCGGCCGAACTTACAGCTTTTTTACTTGTTTTATTTCACCCTGTATATTAAAGGTGTAGAAATATCTTTGCATGGTACGATCTGATTTCAATTTGTTCTGAGTTTGTCCTACTTCTGCTAATTATTGTTGTGTTCCCGTTCTGAGAGATCTGCTTTGTCCAGAAAGTACATACCTTCAAAATCAACTTTTCAGTCAAGCAGAAGCTGGCAACCGTGCTATTATATTTACTCGGCCTAATTCTCCTAGTAAGAAGTAGCAAAAGAGAACTCCATATATGTTTTTCCTCTCTTCATTTAGCAAGTTTTGTACAGGAACGGTGTTCGGTAAAAACTAATGCAACAGTACCGTATTGCAGGTTCTGTGCTTGAATTTATTGTTTTGAAACATCGAAAGAAATTAAATATTTAATAGTTTGGATAATATTTTTGAAAGAAAATCTAGCCATTTCATTCATCTTTTTTGCTTTTTAATTCATTTTTAAAATGAGGAAGAATCTCAAAGAAATGAAAACAAGTTGTTGAATCTAATTTTGAATAATTCTGTCAAGTTGGGAGCATAGTCTCAGGGATGTATTTCAGTAGGTTTACGAGGCTATTTTACCTGCTTATTATACCTGAACATCTGAATGTTATGACTAGCTTATTTCCAGATTATTGTGGATAGATTTGCAGGCAAAAACTTGTTCTGAGCAAAAGAAAATTTTGAGTAGCTAGTCTAAATATCGTAATTCCGTATAGCGACACTTGTGAAAAATATGAACTCAAGTGCAATGTCTTGGTGAAGTCTTTTCTTTGTTTAACTATGTAACATCGACGCCTTCCACGAAGATACCTCATTTACATGATCGGTATCAGTAAGGCTTAAGCATAGTCAACTACTGAGTTCATAGTTTACACTAACAATGTAATATATTTGCATTTAAATTCCTGAGAGCACGTTTTAACACTCAATCACTTTGTTTTCACGTTTTTCTTTTTTTGTATCACTTGCCTGACTAATACGAGTGTCTGTATTCTGATTTGTTATTAATTAACAAAGTTGACGTTTTGCTGTTGTTGCGTCACTCACTTCTATTGTCTGGTAGTTTACAACACAAGTGTGAAACTTGTTTTTCTATCATTGGCCTATTTTAACCATTTTATTTTTATTTTTTAATATAAATATGCATGCATGTATTTTATTTATCGTTCCACTTTGCATAAATGGTCATATATTTTTAACATAAATATTGTCTTGTTTTGCAGCTGTGAGGTCAAAAATCCCCTTAGATCGTACCAGGTTTTGCAAGAGATTTAAGAGATTGGTTAGTTAAAGTAATATTTAAATTAGTTGGAGAGGTGTTAAAATGAAAAGTAGGAATCGAAGGTGAAATATTGAATTCAACAAGCATAACTAAACTCAAAGACTTATGTGCGTAAAAATTTGAGAATATGAAATATGAACAAGTAAAAAAAAACATTAAGTTCGTCCGGGCCGAACTTTTAATACCCTCCACCTTAGGGTAATGGAAACATTAAAACCAATTATGATCCACAAATACCAATTTTTAGACATATTCGTGGGAAAATGTGGCAAAAATCATCAAAATACTGAATATCGGGAGGTACCGTTATATAAGGCCATACAAAAACGTGGACCTATACATAAAATGTTTCGGAGGTAGAACCTATTAAGACCAACTAATTCCAATTTTTAGGCAAATCCGTGAAAAAATGTGAAAAAAACCATCAAAATACCGAATAACGGGAGATATCGTTCTATGGGAGCTATACCAAAGCGTGGTATAGCGTTCGCCACACGAACTACGACCCATTATGACCTACAAATGCCAATTCTCAGACAAATCCGTGAAAAAATGTGCCAAAAATCATTAAAATACCGAATTTCGGGAGGTACCGCTATATGGGGGCTATACCAAAACGTGGACTTATATACATATGTAATGTTTCGCCACCGAAAGCCTTCGCCAATATTGAACCCTGTGAGAAGGAGGTAGCAGAACAAATGATCCGATCTCTACCATCTTTACAATACAGTGTTAGATGAAACAACTGCAACCAACTTCAGACTGCTGCCATTTCTAAGCAGTTGTTAAACTTATTCCAGTGACCGCTCATTATATTGTT